CTTATTCCCCTAAAAAAGGGTCTCTAAAATTGGAGCTAGGATGGCAGCGAGCAAGCTACAATGATCCTCCTGTCTCCATCCACCACAGTGGTGGGGCTACAGGCGCACACAGCCTATCTAACCACACATCAACCTATCTTCTACCTACCTATCTACCTATATATCTGTTTGTTTATGGGGGTGAGTACTTGAGCTTGTGCTTGTGGAGGTGAGAGGACAACTCTCCAGACTATTCCTCTACTTCTACTATGTGGGTCCAGGGGGTCAAACTCGGGTCATCAGACTTGGTGACGGATGCTCTGGACCACCAAGCCATTTGACCGGCCCACTCACATTAACTTTTAATAACTTAAAAAAAAAATGCTAAAAGGGCTGTGGTGGTGATTCAATGGGCAAAAGAACTTGCTCTGCAAAGCATCGGGACCTGATTTTGAACCACAAGTGCCCACGTCTAAGAAATGTTGAGCATGTTTGCACATGCCTGCAGTTTCAGAACTTAGAGATAGATGGGCAAATCCCAGGAGTCTGCTGGCTAGCTAGCCTCGCTGAAAGTGGCAAGCTTTTGGTCTGCCAGCATTAAACACTATCAGCTTACCTCCCTACAAGTTTTCTTTCCATTTTGGCTCAAGGGCACACATGGTCTTACTCTGGGTCTCCAGGCAGCCCAATCCAAGTCTCTTTGTACAAAAGCAAAACCAAACACCACCTTCATTCCGTCACCAACAGACTTCATTCTATCATGTATAAACTCTCAACATAAAAGTTACCTCTTCCTCACATCTATGATGTAGGAGCAACCGGGGCTATCAGCCTAAACTATTCAACTGATACCAAGAAGATTTAGTACAACTTTATTTACAGAGATTTTATATTTGCCATATTTTAAAAATATTTTTCATCTATATAAGGCTCGAAATTATTCTGTTGGCCTCTATAGAGAACCTGTCTAGAAATAATCTTAAAATCAGTTGTGATCTGACCATATATAAGTATGAATAACAGTTTGAAATTTTTTAAAAAGTTGTATCACATCTAAGACAGGTCTGGTGAGGTCTGGTTTGAAGGGTCTGTTCATTTTGTTGGGTTTTGGTATACTATCAGCTATCAGGAGACAGTCATTTCAGAATCAATTAAGAATTAAAAGATGGCAAGAGAGTTGGCTCAGCAGTTAAGAACACTTTCAGAGGACCAAGTTTCAACTCCCAGCACTTGCTGGTTAGCTTGCAACCATCTGTAATTCCAGTCTCAGGGGATCCAATGCCCTCTTTTGGCCTTTGGAGGCAGGCACATTGTACAACATACATACATACATACATACATACATGCATTCAAAACACTCATACACACATAAAAATGATAAAATAAATAAATGTTTAAAAAATTAAGAGAGTACCAAAATATGAGCAAGAAGCCAGTTGTTATTCAGAATGCAGCTTAATAAAATAAAATAAACCCAGACAATTCATCATACGCTCTGCTTAAGGAATATATGAGGTAGATTTACAAATTCATAAATAAAAAATGAAAGCAATTATAGGAGACTATTTAAGGAAACCAGAGCAAAGGGCACCAGCCTCCTCTTATTTATGTATCAAAGAAAGCGAAAACAAAAATGTCTTAGTATGTAAATACTAAGCATTTACTTATACTAAGCACATAAAAAAACTACGAAGTAACAACAACATATTGAGTATTTAGAGCTCATTTTGGTGGTCCCAAAACTTTATGTCTAAATTCTAAGCCTTCAAAGCTGTGCACATCTCCTTACTTTGAAAATATCCAGTAATGAAACCCAGCTCACTCTCAATTTCACAGTCTTCTGGGCTGACAAGATGGCTCAGCAGGTAAAGGTGCTTACTGCCAAGCCTGACAACCTAAATTCAATCCCTAGGACTAACATGAAGGAAGGCAAGAAGTGACTCCTGAACGATGTCCTCGGCCTCCACACACACCACGGAACACACACACACCCACGAAATAAATGTCTTATTTTGTTTAGTTTTTAACTAGTCTGGAGAACGTAATGAAGGATTTGAGATCGAAAGCATCCTAGATTATCCAGGTAGGTCTACAGGTTACAACCCAATGGCAAATGTCCCCACGTCACAAAGGGGGATGGCACTGCCTATGAGGCAGATATAGATGGGCTTCAAAGAAAGTGGCCAGCGTCCAGAAAAGACCAAATCCTAGAGGGAACGCAATCCAGCCTAAATCTTGATTTCAGGCTTCCAGTCTCCAGAGCTTCGAGAATAAACTGATCGGTTTAAGCCAATAAGCCTGAAGTGATCTGCTGTGTTAGCCTTAAGAAATGGGCTTTTCACAATGTTAAAGAGACTTTCCTTTTCCTTTTTTTTTTTTTTTAAAGAGTAACAATAAATTTGAAGTATGTATACTGGGGGGTAGGGCATATATGCATGTGAGGGCTGGTACCCAAGGGGGTCAGAGTTGTCAGACCTCTACCCTGGAGCCAGAGTTACAGGTAGTTGAGAAACAGCCAATGTGGGTTCTGGGAACCAAATCCAGGTCCACTGTAAGAGCAGACGGTCCTCTTAACTACTGACATTTCTTCACTCCCTAGTCCCTTTTCAATGGATTTCAAGTTAGTGAAATGAGCAAAACTTCAAAGGTCCCATTACTTCCCCTAAAGATGGGGGGGTGGGGAGGGGACACGCTGCTCACTCTCAGTACTAATAAGAGACCTGAAGGGCTGGAATTGGTGTGGAGGGACGGCAGATGTAGGTAAGACACTTGTTACATAGGCATGCGGATACAAATCCTGATCCCCAGAACCCATACGAGGCCAGACATCCATCTCTCTGTAATCCAGTGCTCCTACATCGAGATGGGAAGCAGATACAGGAAAGGAACGTGGAAACTCAAAAGCCAGCTAAGCTGGCACACAATGGCGAGCAAGAGACCTGACTCAAAGTAGAAGGTAAATATCAACACCCAAGGTTGTCCTATGACCTCTAAGTACATGCCACGGGTGTTTGGTGGGTTTTTTTTTGCCCCACAATCATGAATATGAACATGTATGTACATGTGGTACATTCTCACATACACACACACAAAGATTTTTCGAAGTTAAAAGGATACATGAATTATTCAGAATTTTCAGCAATGAATATGATCTCACAAATGAAAACAGGAAAGAACCTACATTTGCATGGAATCCAATGCATGTCCACACAATCTGCGTTTAAATAACAAACGAGGCCCTCACCCTTGCTGTCTCCCTCTTTAAGTGGAATTGGTTGACAAGTAAGAGTTTGGATACAGCTGCCTGGAGACTGTCCTATACTGTACACCTTTTCTAAAACTGTTACACGTAAGAGTATCCATATGGCTAGTGAACCAAGGCAGAAGACAAGCTTAGGTCTTAAACTCTAGTGACCAAGGCACAGCTAATTACTTTGATTTTATCTGGATCCATATTGTCTAACCGAATTTCTTCCTCATATGTAAATTGCTCAGTCCCGTCATGAATCCCTTTCAAATTTCATATAACTAAAAGAATTTAATCCAGACATGGTGCACATGCCTTTAGTCCCGGCACTCAGGAGACAGAGGCAGGCAGATCTCTGAACTTGAGGCCTGTGAGGTCTACATAAAGAGTTCTAGCCCTCCAAGAGTACAGGGTTAGATCCTGGCTTGTTTCTTTGTTTTTTAAAGCTCTATATGGGAAAGAATAGAGGAACTCATTTTTTTCTCTTTCTCTTTCTCTTAGTTTTGAGGTGTTAACTCCACAAGCCCTAAAATCACTTCTAAAGCAGCTGCTGTAGCCTGGGGTATGTTCCTTCCACAAGGTTTGCTCTTGACCCCCCTCAAGTGCATGTTCTCTCTCCCAATCAATAAACTCACTAACTTTGCTTCACTGAATTTCTCTGCAGCAAGAATATGGGCGGCACTTGAGCAGAGGTCCCTGTGGCTCTGAGGGGTACTTGTCATGTGAGAGGTCAGCAACTTTTAAGTTTCGTTCCCAGCTGTCTTGTCCCTCCGGCTAGTGAAATTAAATACTTACCCACGATTAAACCAGACATTCAACTGACAAACTTAGTTAAGTAAGAGCGAGGGAGGGAACCATCAGCGTGGAGTTCCTGAAAATTCTGAATGAAATCCTATTCTAAAAGTCAATTATTCAGAAACCTGGATGCGGAACCGTGATTTTTCCTGTTTCCTAGCAAAACACTTAAAAGATAGTGATTCAGACAGATCCTGCCTCAAACATAATCTCCAACTGGGGCAAAACTCGGTAAGGGATCCAGTCCTCCAAAGCATCCCCCAACACAGAATGAAAAGAACTGAGAAATGGGGAGAAAGTCATAGATGTATCAGGGAGAACCCTAACAGAGCTCTTCTTGGAAACTAAAAACCAGAAAGGAAGTACAACTGTAAGTTTTTATGAGATGTCATATACCTAATTCACATTAGGAGAGCTTTCTGCTCTTTATTGTTTTCCGAGTTCAATCTCCACGGAGGTTGGGGGGTGGGGGGGGGGCGAAAGAAACAGTAGCAGGAAGAAAGCAATCTGACAAGAGATCAGCACACATTGAAGCCCAGTGGAAGCTGAGGAGAACTGTATCTACAGTGAGGCTCCTATTGTAACAAATGTATTCATTTCCTCGCTAGGCTCTCGCTTTCACCCGGGAGGAACCCAAGGCAGGAATCGTCCTTCACAGCTGTCACTTCGGTCAGCGCCTAGAGGTCTTGCAAATCTAAAAGACATCGGAAGTGCACATGAAGCCAGCATCACCACCTCGGACTCAGTGCCCTACTTTGGCAGGCACCGAGACAGGCAGTAACAGCCGGCCGGGGCGGGGGTGGGGCGGACCCGGGAACACAGCCTCAGCAGGACGTTCCAGAAGGAACCCCGAAGTGAGAACCAGAAACTTCCCCCGCGGCGGGCGGGGAGGCCGGGTGCTGCGGCACGTGCTCGCCCGGCTGCAGGCAGCGCCGCCCCGGCCGCGGGGACTCGCGCGCATCGCGCGACCGCGCCTCACCTGGACCCCGGTGTAGTTCTCGAAGAAGAAGAGCACCATGTTCTGGTAGACGCAGTAAAGCCGGTCGTCCACGCGCTGGTACAGGCGGGCGGGCAGCAGCGCGGACAGCACCCGCCACAGCGTCCAGGCCAGCAGGTAGGTGGGCGCCGAGCCCAGCAACAGGACGCTCGGGAGCAGGTAGCGCATAGAGTACGTGTGGAGCACCAGGGACAGCAGCATCCTCCCGGCTCGCCAGCCGCGACTCCGCCTGCGGTGCCCGCGCGGCCGCGGGACCTCAGCCACCGCCGGCCGCCCGCCAATCACCGCGCGGGGCCGGCCGCGCCGCCGCCCTCCGCCCTGGCTCCGCCCCCAGCATGGGCCGCGGGGCCAGGGACCCGGCGGGGACAGTGACGGCCTCTGCTAGCCGCCTTGGAAAGGGCACGCCTCGGCTTGCCGGGCGCGCTCGCCTCAGGGTGCTCGCTTTGCTCCGCGAGACCGGCGCCTATCAGCGGGGAGGCGGGGTGAGGCAGGACTTCCAGGTAACAAGGCGTCTCCTGATTGGCCGACTTATGGACGTAACACGTGCTCTGATTGGTCCGTTCCCGGTCCTCCGTCACGACGCATGCTCGACTGTGGATGCTGGCTGTGAATGAGCACCGGAGGATGTGAGGTGGTGGGTTTTGGCCTGTGCTGGCTTTCGAGAGCAGTGCGGGGACACACGGATGCTTCCTGCAAGACACGCGTGAGCTGACTAGGTCGTGGAGCGCAGGACGAGCTCGATGCCGCCAGTTACGGATAGCTGCCACGTCTTCGCGTGCGGGGGGCCACCCATGTCCCCACGTGCATAGGAAGCGCTCCTTCCCTCCTCCTGGCTGTTGCAGAATGAGGCCAGGTCCGTCACCTATACCCTTGGTTCACCTTTCACAGGACTGTCACCTCCCTTTATTAGAACCTTCAAAGCTTTAACTTTTGCCCTTTAATAACCTCTTGCCCTTTAACTTGTTTCTGCTGTGCTATTTCCTAATGTCCTATGTTTCTTCTTTTTTTTTTTTCAGTGTGTAGGAAAGCATTTTCCTATCCATGTAAAATCCATAAGTTATGTTCCCTTCAGAATACTAGGAGGGTTAAGTAGCACCAAAAACTTATCCAGAGGCTCGAGTCCTTCTACTGCCCTAACTAATGGAGACCAGATATCCTATACTAGAAGGTATAGAGGAAAGCAGGTCAGTGTGCATGCTCAGTTCTGTATAAAGTCAATTTTAAGTGTGTGTGTGTGTGTGTGTGTGTAAATATGTTGGCTTCTATAAGTGACCCTGAAGTCACTTATTCTTGCCCCCGTTTGTTTTCTCCCTTTCCAGACCACTGACTCTTCTGCCTACCTTGTGTCTCTGCTTCCACCCTTCATCTCTTACCCCATGTTTCTTTCCCATCACCTCGGAGATGCGCTTCTTAAGGCATACAGATGACTGCTGTCATAAGCACACTATGTCAGATGGACAAGTTTATGTGTTTTCATGATGTCGGAATGTATTGAATTACAATAAATTTCACAAAGTACAGTGGCTTCATTGGCAACAAAGACGCTGGCTTTACTTTGTAGCCCTGGCTAAGGCAAACACAGGTTTTTTATTGCCGTCTTAATTACTAATATTAACTCTCAGATCTCCCATACATCACTCAGTAAGTATCTCTCTGTGTTTACATATGTATATATAGGTTACATTGACTACAAGGAGTTAAAAAGAGGAAAGGAGGTTTAAAAGCCTTGGGAAACCAGAGCTGGAAAAGTGACAGGGATGTAAGAGTGACTGTCTTGATAATGTGAACTTTGAACCCAGCTTTAGGGAAGAAGCTGCTGTTCTTGGGCCATTGTGGGTCACAGATATGACAAACTTTCCAGTTTAATCCAGATGCAGAGGTGAAAGGGCAGGCAAAGGATTTGTTAGACAGATGGACTGCAGATCCAGATCGGCAAACAAGAGTTCAGGAAGACAGAAATTGAGGTACACATCAAAAAGCAGGGACCGAGCTAACCTGAAGGTCTGGAAATTCAGGGGTTCCCTCCCGGTTCATCTATCACATTCTCCGGATAGTCAGATGACCCATTTGTGGGAGCATTTACAGTATTAGGAGTCAACCTTTGTCAACAGAAAACCAAGAGTTCCAAAACAGTTAAGTGCCTGAGGCCCCTCTCCTTTCCCAACCATAAATTTTCAATTTCCTAGGAATGTCAGTAGAAAATTCATTTATAAGGAAAGGGCATGTATTAAGCCCTTTGTGTAACCACAGTGGCTTTTCCCTTATCAGATTATAATCCTGTCTAAAACATCTCTGGAGCCACCTCCTATTGCTTTATCAGGAGAGAGGAGACAGTAAGATGGCTGTAAGCATTTGCAACCAAGATTTGCAAACCTGTGTGATCCACAGAGCTCATGTGGTAGAAGGGGAAAATGAACTGAAGATTGTCCTGTGACCTCTACAGGTGTTCATGGCATGGACCCATAGGTCATCCCAGTCAAACTCTGATAAATCGTCAATATCCTTTTGGTCGTATTTTGGATTTTAATTTTGGATATATATGTTTCTTTTTCTTTTGAACATGAAACACATAACAGTCATTCAAACAACAAAACAAAAACAGACAGTTGACACACATGGACAGTTTGGCTCCCCAAAGACAGAACTCTTTAATAAAATCAAAATATGACAACAGTTGCTAAATTTCCACCTTTACTCCTCCTGTCTTTAAAGCCTTTCTCACCTGTTCCACATATAATTCATGCTGACTTATTTCTTGCCCCATTTTCTTTACTATAACTTTCCTGGTCTCAATATAGCAGGTTTCTGCGGTGATCACCTTTGTTTCACGTGTGAATTTTCAGTCGACCCTTCTTCCAGTAGCATCCCTCTTAAGGTCTCTCATCCCTCATGGGGTCTCTTGTTCTCGCTGCCCCACATTGGGCGCCAGGTAACCAAGCCCATGGGTCAGTCAGTGGGGTCTGAAAGGGAGAGAGTGGGGATGGAGGGGCAAGAGACACAAAGAATGGAGACAAGACAGGATGTCTGATCAAGTCTCGTTTATTGAAAGGCAATTATGGGTATATAAGCACAAGCAGCAGAATGCAGCTGGGGGCACTAAACAACAAGACCAAGATACATCTGAGAAAAACAAGATGTTTATCAGAGTGTGCTCAGCTGTTGTGGGCTGTTTGCAAAAACATATACTAGGAAAACAAGTCTCTTGTCAGGGTGGAAAAATATTAACCTGCAAATATTTGGCCCTAGATGGCTGCAAAGATGATAGCCACTTTCTGCTAGGAGTTGGCTCTCCACACCCATACACACAAATATCTGTAAAACTAGACAATACAAAGGTGTTCTGGTGACTCTCTTAGACGCACAATCTGAGAACCACTAGTGACTTACATGGATAATACTAACGAGTCTCTCTGTCTGTGTGTTTTCCTACTTAAAAAAAAAAAAAAGAACCCTCATGCCTAAGCTTACATTAAAATATCTGTAATAAAACTCCCAGCTGTGCTTCACTACAAATTCTTTTCAACATCAAATCCACTAATGCTGGTGTAGCCCGAGCTGAAGTCCCTAAAATCCAGGGGAACTCCTCTGGCTGCTGGGGATGACTGTGATAGTCTTCGGAGAAAAACCCAAAGTGAGGCTCAAAGATGGTCCAGTCTAGAGATCTTGATCGGGTTTGTTTTTATGGCGGCAGAGAAATCTCAAACACCTCACAGAATTAGCAGATGAAGAAAGGTGTTTATTGGGGGTAAGGGGTAAGGAAACACATGGACACGGCAGACATACAGAAAAGAAAGAAATACACTGCAGAGCAGAGACTCAGCCAAAAACATCCATTCTCTTCTCAAGGGCTGGGTTTTCTACGCCTCTGAAGAGTCTTCCTCCCCTAATTTAGGGTTGGTCAGTTTGAAGAAATATAGGACAGCAGACTGGCCCAGAACTGTTGTGTAGCAAGTCCTTATCAAGCCTTGAACTTGCTGAACCAGTCCATCAGCAGGGGGCCTGCTGGTGGGTCACAAAAGCCAACAAAGACTTTGTTTTATGCTGCCAAGCTTTTGTCTCAAGTCAAGAGGGCCAGGAAGAAGATGGCTATCTTCAATATTCTACCTTTAATACCTAGACTTCACCCCTTTCCCTGTCTGCCTATCAGGAAGTTCATAGTTTCTCAAGTGAGGAGCCATGTCTCTGTTTCCTTATTACTAACGGGGTAACTATATTTGTTACCATAAGCCTATCACCTTCCTGTTATCACTGAGGAACAGAGTATTTCAAAATGTACTCAAGGAGGAAACTCAAGAACAATTAGAGTTGGAGAGGAAAAAAAAAATGTAGGTAAACCAGAATTGATTTCTGAATTAGGGAAACTAACTAAGAAAACAGGCAGGCTTTTAGCAAATCACCTGGGAGTGATGTTGCTAGAGGGGCTTCAGGGAGTGAGAAAACCTGGAACAAGCAAGCTTATGAATGGTTGGTTTCTAAAAATACAAGGGAATTGAAAATGTTATGGTTTCAAGTGGGCTGGCAGAGGGAAGGGCTTGTGAGGTGCAAGTACATGTTGTGACATGTTGGGAGGGGTATCATGATTTGGCTGTCTTGAAGCTGTCTTCCCAAGATTATAAAACAGAATTATCTACTCATCACAGGAGGTCTTTGGCTTTTTTCTGGCCAAGGGAAGCTCCTGCTGTCTATGTCAAACATGTTATCAACCACTGACCATTTGTGATGGAGTTTAGTAACCACCAACCATGCTATTGTATTATTACCACACTGATATTTCTACGTCCCAAATGGTCTCCAAACCCGGAAGGCACCTGCTGCAGGCATCAGAAAGGATATAGATCATGCCACGTTGACTAGAGGAAGCTCACCAAGAGTTTTATGCACTATGTCCCCAGTGGAGCCTGGGATGCAGCTGACTGCCAATGGCCCTTTTGATCCCCCTTCTCACTACTTAGCATCCCCTACCACCAACATTGTTGTCATAGCAACCTTTTTGGACTTTCCAAAATTGTATGATGAAATGTTTCACATTCAACTGCCTAACTCAGTGAATCGTTTCTAAATATCCCAAGTATAGTGGGTACAGGGTTCTTCCTGGATGTCTTATATTTGTGAATGTAACAATACGAAAATTGCCTCATCCTGAAGAAGCTATGAGCTCCTGACTGTTTGGTGTAATTCGGGTAGCATTATTTGAAAAGGCTACTAAACTGCTCTCCTTTATTCCAGGAAC